TATGGAAGCATTCAGATGTTTCACGGACTTTCCCAAGATCACCCAAGAAGTCAGAATCCTCCAAGCTGGAGCCTGACTATAAGCTCTATCTCCTACAACTACACAAGCCACAACGCAGCCCCTTTGCTCCAGAGGAAAAGGAGTAAGCACAGAGGGCTTCTGAGTCTGGCAATGCTCCATTTCCTGACAGGAGCATTTTACAGACTTGCGTCTGCCCCTCTGAGGGAGGCAGAGCCGTCAGCTAACACTCAGAGACAAGGATGCTCTTACGACATCCTGATCCGGGAGGAAGAGGTGAAGGCAACTCACCACCCTCAGGCATCTTACAGAAAACAGTGGAACTAAGGCTCATTCTAAGGAATGTGCCCAAGATCACACACTGTAGGCTGCAAAGCGAGAGTCAAACTTTGAACCCTGAACCTGCACTTGTCCCTGTACACTGCCCTGCAGCATAGATGCAATGGCTGGGCAGGGGGAAATACCCAAGCCTAGGGATAAAAATGCCTACCTGCTTTCTTGTGTGTCAACCTCAGCTACAGAAAGGAGAGGGCACCTTTCTAACACATCAGTGTAGGGTTCTAAAAATACAAGCTAATAGAGGCAAAGCTATCAAGAGAGGCCTGGCAGAGCCTCATGTTTGCCTGGTGGGAGGACCTGTATGTTGTGAGCTAGAGTGCCTGCCTGGCCAAGGACCCCATCTGGCCTAGGCCCAAGTGCACCCACAAGTTGGGTCCACTGCTACAAAAGTGGCCAAGCCTGAGGACAGTAGCAGTGCCACCTGATTTCACATTCCCAAGATGTCACCTGAGAATTAAAGGGTAGAGATGGTAGCTGGGTGAGGGGGCTCATGCCTGTAATCCCAGCACATTGGGAGGCCAAGGTGGGAGGATCACTTAAGCTCAGGAGTTCAATCACCTGAGGTCAGGGTTCTCTTAAAAAAAAAAAAAAAAAAATTAGGCTGGGTGTAGTGGCTCATGCCTGTAATCCCAGCACTTTGGGAGGCTGAGGCAGGTGGATCACCTGAGGTCAGGAGTTCAAGACCAGCCTGACCAACATGAAGAAACTCCATCTCTACTAAAAATACAAAATTAGCCAGGCGTGGTGGTGCATACCTGTAATCTCATCTACTTGGGAGGCTGAGGCAGGAGAATCACTTGAACCTGGGAGGCAGAGGTTGCAGTGAGCCAAGATCGCGCCATTACACCCCAGCCTGGGCAACAAGAGCAAAACTCCGTCTCAAAATAATGATAATAATAGTAGGATTTCAGAGCATTTTGAAAATGAAAGAAATCAGTTCTCTAAACCTGTAGCTCCCCATTCTCTGAAGTAGTGGCCTAAGCACTGCTCGCAGTTTCAAAGAAGGGAGCAGGAAGATGGTGTCCACACAGAGAGGGACATGCCCACACCAGGCTTTCTGAAGAACACCAGGCTATCTCTCAGACCTGGCTTGATGGCTTCTGCTCTTGCCAGTGTGGGGACACATGGTACATTTAAGCATGGGCACCATGGCCCCTAATACCCAGGGAACACTACATCTTTTCTGACCTTGGTTTCAAGTCTTAGAGACACTGAACAATATCCATTTTCTTTTCTCATAATTGAATTATAGAAGAGTTACAAAAAATAAGTAACAGTTAATCTATATACCCTGAATTATATCTCAAATTGTTTTTGAGAGGGGGGTCTCACTCTGTCACCCAAGTTGGAGTGAAGCAACGTGATCTTGGCTTACTGCAATCTCTGCCTCCCAGACTCAAGCAATCCTCCCACCTCAGCCTCCTGAGCAGCTGAGACCACAGGCGTGTGTCACCATGCCAGGCTAATTTTTTGTATTTTTGGTAGAGACAGGACTTCGTCGTATTGCCCATGCTGGTCTTGAACTCCTGAGCTCAAGCTATCTGCCCACTTCAGTCTCCCAAAGTGCTGGGATTACAGGCATAGGCCACTGTGCCCAGCCCTGAACCATATCTTGATGACCAGCCCCCTCTCTAAGCCAGCACTGTCCAATTTTTTTTTTTTTTTTTTTTTTTTTTTAAATCTAATGGTCACTCTGTCACTCAAGGCTTAGGCTGGAGTACAGCGGCATGATCTCGGCTCACTGCAACCTCCACGTGCTGGGCTCAAACTACCCTCTCCCTCAGCCTCCTCAGTGGCTGGGATCACAGGCGCAGGTCACCAACCCAGCTAAGTTTTGTATTTTTTGTAGAGATGGGGTTTCGCCATGTTGCCCAGACTGTTCTCAAACATCTGGCCTCAAGTGATCCCCCAACCTTGGACACCCAAAGTGGTGGGATTACAGGCATGAGCTACGGCTCCCGGCCCCAGTAAAACTTTCTACTGTGATGGGACTGTTCCAAATCAGAACCATTTAATATGATAGACACTATTTCCATGTAGACACTAAAAACCTGAAATGTGACCAGTGCAACTGAGCAAGTGAATTTTTTATTTTATTTCAGTTATTTCTTCTTCTTCTTTTTTTTTTTTTTGAGACAGACTCTCGCTCTGTTGCCCAAACTGGAGAGCAGTGGTGCAATCTCAGCTCACTGCAACCTCCGCCTCCCAAGTTCAAGTGATTCTCCTGCCGCAGCCTCCAGAGTAGCTAGGATTACAGACATCTGCCCCCATGCCTAATTTTTGTATTTTTAGTAGAGGCAGGGTTTTGCCATGTTGGCCAGGCTGGTCTCCTGACTTCAGGTGATCCACCTGCCTCGGCCTCCCAAAGTGCTTGGATTACAGGCATGAGCCTCACATCTGGCCTATTTCAGTTAATTTCAATTTAAATGGCCACATTCACCAGTGTTTGTAATAGTGAGCAGCACGGTTGTGTCCTCACTTCTCTAAGGCAGGCCACGACCCCTCACAAGTTACTGTGTAGCCTGTTAATACTGTTTCAGTGTGGCAAACTGAAGCCCTGGTTTCAGAAAGAAAAGTACTTTGGGGAACAACAATCAAAGACACACAGAGTGGATTTGATGCACTTTTACTGCCTTGCTTCAGGAACATGCTCTGAGCTATGACAAGGCAGAGCAGGGGCTTGTGGGCCTACATGACAAAATAAAACAGGAGAGGAACTGAGACCCTAAGGGAATTAACCCTGTATATGGAAAACATGAGTGGCAGGCAGTGAGACTTACAGATATATGATGTGCTAAAATTACTGAATGAAGCAATTTTTCAATAAAAGATTCTAGAGAGAGGCACGCCCCTCCCACAGTTTTACCTCTTCATTAAGTTAAGTATTAAATTAATTCCCTAGAAAATATCCTCATGGTCATGTCACTGTAAGTTTGAAAATTAACTGCAGGAATTAGGTACTGCCAGCCTTCCTTCTGAGTCTTCAGCAGCCTGGGCCTCACATCCACTGCGGCTTGGAGTAAGGATAATGTGGGGGCTGGCCAGCAGCCAGCCCTGCTCTAAGGTGATCTGTGGCACAGCTGGAAGGAGAACAAGAAATACCTATGCACTGTGCAAGGGCAAAAGCATTCTACATGACTGTGACAAACCAGAGTTTGTTCCACCACCACATTTAAAGGACAAGAAAACCACAGGCCTCTACATCAAAATGACAGTCCAATGGGGTGTCCAGCAAACTCCATTCCCCTTCCAAAGCCCACTCCACTCAGAGAAAGTCATCGGTCATGCCAGAGGCCCCAACATCCTCTCAAAAGAGGATAAAAATCACACTCTTAGAACCACAAATTGTGGCCAGGCATGGTGGCTTATGTACGTAATCCCAAAAATTTGGGAGGCCAAGGAAGGAAAATCACTTGAGGCCAGGAGCTCAGGACCAGCCTGGGCAACAAAGCAAGACCCCATCTCTACCATCAATCAATAAAAATTTTTTAAAAAGAACTGCAAATTGCCATGGCAGGTGTGGTGCTCCCTCGTCAGAGAACTGCAGAGAAACAGCACTACCTCGCTGCACAGCAAAGGCCCCGCCTAGGGATCTTGGCTACTTTTTCCCGGGATGGTGGAGGCCAAGTCCTTGACTCCACACAGGCCTTGTCTGTGTTTAAGGGAACTCAGGGCAGGTAACTCACAATCTTCCTTCACCTGGGCCTATGTTAGTATTTACTATGCTTCAAAATGAACAGAAAGCAGAAGTGGTCATTTCTAAAGTTCCTACCCCGGTAGTGCCTCCCAGAGAGAGCAGGGGGCACAAACACAGGAAGGAACTGGATTCACCCTTCATCTGTGCTTAAAAGTACATCAAAGAACACCCAGGTTCACACCATCCCAGCTCTAAGCCTCACTGCCCACATCACCACCTAAGCCTGGACTCCAAGAAGGGACTTGACCAGCCTGAGCTACACCCAAGCACCTGCATTTGACCTCTGGCTACATGCTCAAGGAATTAGAACCAAAGACAACAACAAGGTGGCCGGGCGCGGTGGCTCAAGCCTGTAATCCCAGCACTTTGGGAGGCCGAGACGGGCGGATCACGAGGTCAGGAGATCGAGACCATCCTGGCTAACACGGTGAAACCCCGTCTCTACTAAAAAATACAAAAAACTAGCCGGGCGTGGTGGCGGGCACCTGTAGTCCCAGCTACTCAGGAGGCTGAGGCAGGAGAATGGCATGAACCCGGGAGGCGGAGCTTGCAGTGAGTCGAGATCCGGCCACTGCACTCCAGCCTGGGCGACAGAGCGAGACTCCGTCTCAAAAAAAAAAAAAAAAAACAAAGACAACAACATAGGGGTCTGCTTTCCTCTACATTTCTTTCATAGGAGATAGACATCCCACAGGGACATGGCCTCATCTGTTCTCTGACCTGCTTTACCCACCAGACAGGCCTGAAGCTGGAAGAGGTGCCCAAGACTGTCTATGCAATCCTCCACTCCACACTACCTGAAAGCACACACTAAATGGGAAAAAAAAAAAAAAAAAAACACCAGACTTCTCACGGAGAAAATATCTGGGCGAACAGGAGGGTGAGGCTTTGTCCAGGCCTGGGACCAGGACGAGCCCCCACCCTGAAGTGACCACAGAGCCCTTACCTGGCATCACCATCCTGGTCATCAGCATGGTCGCCCGTGTTGTTAACAGCATATCTGCTACGTGGCTTATCTGAGTGAGGGCAAAAAGAGAAGAAGGGCTAAGAAAACAGGATCCTTCCACATACGGGAGGATTACAGAACCGTTAAAAGCCATGTTTTCCAAAACATGGTCTATCCATACCATGGGATATTACTCAGACATAAAAAGGAATGAACATGGATGAACCTTGACAATATCATGCTGAATAAGCCAAAGACAAAAGAACAAATAGTGCACTTACAGTATATGAAATGTCTAGAAGAGGCAAATGCATCAAGACAGAAAGTAGATTAGAGTTTACCGGGGGCTGGGAGCAGGGGAAATGAAGAGTTATTGGTCAGTGGTTACAGAGTTTCAGTTTGGGTGATGAAAAAGCTTTAGAAATAGCCATAATGGTTGCAAGATATAATGAAAGTAATTAATGCCACTTAATTATACACTTAAAAATCATAAAATGACAAATCTTATGTTATCTTCAAAAACTGTGACAAGCCGGGCACGGTGGCTCACGTCTGTAATCCCAACACTTTTGGAGGCTGAGGCAGGCGGATCACCTGAGGTCAGGAGTTCGAGACCAGCCTGGCCAACATGGCGAAATCTTGTCTCTACAAAAGAGGATAAAAATCACACTCTTAGAACCACAAATTGTGGCCAGGCATGGTGGCTTATGTACGTAATCCCAAAAATTTGGGAGGCCAAGGAAGGAAAATCACTTGAGGCCAGGAGCTCAGGACCAGCCTGGGCAACAAAGCAAGACCCCATCTCTACCATCAATCAATAAAAATTTTTTAAAAAGAACTGCAAATTGCCATGGCAGGTGTGGTGCTCCCTCGTCAGAGAACTGCAGAGAAACAGCACTACCTCGCTGCACAGCAAAGGCCCCGCCTAGGGATCTTGGCTACTTTTTCCCGGGATGGTGGAGGCCAAGTCCTTGACTCCACACAGGCCTTGTCTGTGTTTAAGGGAACTCAGGGCAGGTAACTCACAATCTTCCTTCACCTGGGCCTATGTTAGTATTTACTATGCTTCAAAATGAACAGAAAGCAGAAGTGGTCATTTCTAAAGTTCCTACCCCGGTAGTGCCTCCCAGAGAGAGCAGGGGGCACAAACACAGGAAGGAACTGGATTCACCCTTCATCTGTGCTTAAAAGTACATCAAAGAACACCCAGGTTCACACCATCCCAGCTCTAAGCCTCACTGCCCACATCACCACCTAAGCCTGGACTCCAAGAAGGGACTTGACCAGCCTGAGCTACACCCAAGCACCTGCATTTGACCTCTGGCTACATGCTCAAGGAATTAGAACCAAAGACAACAACAAGGTGGCCGGGCGCGGTGGCTCAAGCCTGTAATCCCAGCACTTTGGGAGGCCGAGACGGGCGGATCACGAGGTCAGGAGATCGAGACCATCCTGG